CAGCGAGGTTGGCACAGGATAGAACGGAGGTTAGGGCTCTTGTACATAGGGTCACTATGAGTCGCAAGGGACTCGATGGCACACGACAACAACAACAACGACCACAACAACAAAAATGGTGTAATGATAGTTGTAGCATTCTGTGAGGTTTAAACAGAAATAATTCATCTTAAACATTTGTATAGAGGATGCACCTAAGAAACGTGAGCTGTTTGGTTATAGTTGTGTACTATCAATTTGGAACTGACCCATAGCTGACTCTCCAGCAGGTTTTTAAAGGTAGTAAATCACAAGGGAGGAAATTGATTCTTCTTCCACAGAGCAGCTGAGAGATTCAAACCCCATGCCTTTGGGATTGCAGTGCAGCTTCTTGCCACTATCACATATATTAAACTAGAAAATGGTACTGAAGTTTTGGCATTTGTGCTGTGGGGATCTAGGCTTGATTTAGTAACTTTCCTGGTATTAATTTTTAGTTTGGGTGTTAATTGGTGAAGAACCAATTTATTCAATAGGAAATGCATCTTTCCCATCAGCAAGTTCTTCAGCATCCCTTTTATCAAGACCATCTAAAATTTTAAACTCTCCCCCAGTACTACTTTACTTTGTCTTCCTGTGCTGCCCTTTGAAATCTTCTGTTCAGCTCCTTAGTATCTTGATTACTTTCCTTAGCTTTGGCTTCTTGGCGCTTTAGTGCAATATTCTAAGTCTCATCTGACATCCATCTTGGTCTTTTCTTCCTCTTCTGTTTTTGTAAGAACCTTTTGCAGTCTTCCTAGATTATGTTCTTGATATCCTCCTATAGCTCATCTGGTCTTTGCTCATTAGTGTTCAAGACATCAAACCTGTTCCTGAGATGGTTTTGAAATTCAGGTGGCATAGACTCAAGGTCATATTTTGGTTCCCATGAATTTTATTTCATTTTCCTTAGCTTTAACTTGAACTGGCACATAAGTAGTTGGTGGTCTGTTCCACTGTCAGGACCTGGCCTGGTTTTTACAGCTGATATTGAGCTTCTTCAGCAATTATTTCCACAGATGTAATTGATCTTATTCCTGTGCATACCATCAGGCTAAATCCATGTGTAAAGCCTATGTTTATGTTTCTTATAAAATGTATTTGCAATGACTAAATCATTGATTGTGCAAAGTTCTGTCTTTCTCTCTCCACCTTCATTTCTGTCACCAAGTCCATGTTTTCCAACTGCTGATCCTTCTTCTTTGTTCCCAACTTTTGCATTCCAGTCACCCATTATTATTCATGCATCTTGATTGCATGTTTGATCTATCTCTGACTGCAAAAGTTGGTAGAAATATTCTATTTCCTCTTCTTTGACTCTGGTTGTTGGTGCACCTATCTGAATGATAGTGGTATTTGCTGGACTTCCTTTTATGCATATGGATATTATCCTATCACTCAAAAGATTGTATTTTCAGACTTATCTAGAAATTATTCTTTTTAACTATGAAAGCAACCCCATTTTTTTCCTCACCTTTTCATCTTCAGCATAGTAGATTATATAATTGTCTGACTCAGAATGCTCCATGCCAGTTTATCTCTTCTCACCAATACGTAGAAGGTCAATATTTATGCATTCCATTTCTCCCTTTACAATATCTAATTTTTCTACATTTATGGTTCTCATATTCCATGTTCCAGTCACTAGTGTGCATTGGGAAAACCTGCTGTCAGAGACCTCTCTAAAGTACTGAAAAGCAATGATGTCAGTTTGGAGACTCAGGTGTGCCTGATTGATATAGGCCATGGTCTTTGCAATCACTTGCTATGCATCAGAGAGCTGGACAATGACTAGGGATGCTAGAGAATTGGTGCCTTTGAGCTGTGGTGCTGGAGAAGAGTATTGAATATACAGTGGACTGCCAAGAGAACAAACAGGTTTATCCTGGAGAGAGTCAAACTAGGCTGCTCCTTGGAGGCAAGGATTCTGAAGCTTCGTCTGACATACTTTGGATATGTTGCAAGGAGGGACCAGTCCTTGGAGAGGAACGTCATGCTTGGGAGGGTGGAGGGAAAGCACAGGAGAGGAAGATTCTCCATGAGATTGATTGATTCAGTGACTGGGGTAATGGAGGGAGGTGTGTCAGAGACAGTGAGGTTGGCACAGGATATAGCAGGATTTAGGGCTTTCGTAAGTCACTATGAATCACAGGCAACTCTATGGCACACAATAACAACAACTCCTCCAAAAGTCAAAACCCTAGAAAAAGTCCCCACATCATCTCTAAAAGTATGTAGAACAATACAATTCTGACTGCAGAAAAGTGAGCTTCTCAAAAACCACCACAATGAGAAGATCTCATTGCCATAGTTTGACACTCATAGTCGAGCCTTCATTGGATTCTGTAGGTTGTAAATCAAATGGGACGAGCTTGCCCATCCTTCTGCAGAGATACTGGTGGATTTGAACCATCAGAGGGGCATGATCTTGAGTTTGTTGTCGTTAAGTTCTGTACAGTTGAATACTACTCAGAGTGACCCTATGAGCAACAGATCTGAATCCTGTCCTGTCCTCTACCATCTTCATAATCTCTGACATCCTCAAGCCCATTTCTGTAGTCACTGTATCAATTCATCTGATGGAAGGTCTTCATCCCTCCAGCTTCTCAAGTATAATGTCCCTCTCTAACAAATAATCCCTCCTAGTAGTATGCCCCAAGTACGTGACGTGGAGCTTCAGCACCTTTGCCTCCAAGGAGAACTTTGGCTGCACTTTCTCCAAAATATATTTGTTCTTTTGACAGACCGTGGGATATTCAAGACTCTTCTTCAACACCACAAACACGAAGACATCAATTCTTCTTTTGTCATCCTTAGCCATCATCTAGCTGTCAGATGCATAACTCCTTAGTCCTCAAACTGACTTCATTATTCCTTCATAGTTTGGAGAGGTCCCTGACTCTAGACTTTCCTTGGGTAAAACCTGGCTGATATCCTTCTAGGACAGATTTATTTTGTTCTTCTGGAAGTTCCTGACCTATTTAATATTTTCCATGAACATCATAGTTCAAAGGCATCAATCAGCTCTTCTTCAGCCTTCTTTATTCATTGTCCAGCTTCCCTGAGTGTTGATTGTGGATCCATACAGAAGGAAATATGTGACAGCCTCAATCTTTGCTCTGTTTAGCATCGAAATTCTTATTGGCCCAGATGTGGGAATTGTTGTTCTCTTTATGTTGAAGTGTAAACTGTACTGAAGGCTGTCGTCTTTGATCTTCACCAGTAAGTGCTTCAAGTCCTCTTCACTTTCAGAAAGCAAAACTGTGTCATCCTCACGTTGAAAGTTGGCAAGTGTATAAGTCCACATTTCTGTCTTATCTTCAAGTTAAATTAACTTGTCCTCCTATGGTATTGGGAGTGTGCTGCTAACAATTTTTGCCTGAGCCATGAGAATGTCAATTAAGCAAGAGAAAGCAAAAGAATCGTGTGGTTTCATCAGCATCAGTATTGGAGATTCAGGAGCTCAATTTGCCTTCTCTCATCTCATTCATCATTTCCATAATTAGTATCACTAATCAACTGATCAGCACCTTCTAAATCACAGACACAATAGAGTGTTTTGGGGAGCGAGGTTAGGGATGGCAGTAGAGAATACATTGAGGTTGCTTTTTCTTTGTAGCTTGGTTGAGATTAGATCAAGAAATAGTCTTTCGATGGGATTGGAGAGGAATTAGATAAGGTTGTTTATCTCACAGAAAATGTGCTCACTGTCCTGGTCTTGAAGGA